CCTCTCTGTAAAAAATCAATAAAATATATTAAAAAAAAAATAATAAGGGCTTCGCAGCCTCAAATTTATGCCCCTCCCACCCCCCAACTGACAGACACCTCTGCCCAGTGATGCCCAGAGAAGATGCTGAGCCTTAGGAAGGTGTGAGCCTCACTGCTGGGAAGTGGCCCGGGCCTGCCTGGGACCCCCTTCTGTTCATTGCCACCAGCTTTGTGAGGCCACACAGGAAATGTCTGTCAGTGGTCGGCAAACTCCTTAGTCAACAGAGCCAAATATCAACATTACAATGATTGAAATTTCTTTGGAGAGCCAAATTTTTAAACTTAAACTTCTTCTAACATCACTTCTTCAAAATAGAGTTGCCCAGGCTGTGGTATTTTGTGGAAGAGCCACACTCAAGGGGCCAAAGAGCCGCATGTGGCTCTGGAGCCGTGGTTTGCCTACCACTGGTCCATGTGATTATCATCGTCATCACTGTAGCTATGATAACAATGGCCGTATTCATTTTCAATTGTATCTGTAACAAATTACCAGAAAATTAGTGACTTAAAATGAATTTATGATCTTACCGTACTCGAAGTCCGAAGGGCGAAATGGGCTAAAATCAAGGTGTTTCTGGGAACTTTAGGGAGAATCATTTCCCAGCTCTTGCCAGCTTCTAGGCATACCTAAATTGCTTGGCTAGTAGCCCCTTCTTCCATCTTCAAAAGCATTGACGTTAAATCTACAAATTTCTCTTTTGCCTCCCCCTTTCATTGCAAACACAATTGTGATAGATTGGGCTCACCTGGACAATCCAAGCTCTCCCCGAATCCAGGCCAGCTGATTCAGCAACCTTCATTCCCACTTGCCATGTAACGTAACATCCAGGTTCCTGAGATTAGGACATGTGCCTCATTGGGAGAGGGGGCATTATTCTGCCCACCATTATTCTAGCTAGTTTCTTGAGCACTTATTATGTGCCTGGTACAATTCCAAGCATGTTACCTGTAATAATGCACTTAAACTTCATCACTACTCTATGTACCCATTTTACAGGTGAAGAAAGTGAGCGCAGAAAACAAAAGTAACTTTCCCAAGTAACTTGACGTAGCTAGTAAGAGGTAGGACTGAGCTACAGATCTGGGAGTATGATCTCAGAGCCCGTTCTCTTAGCCACAAGCTCCCGTCAGTATTTGGAGGACAGACGAACGAACTGAATTCTACCTCATTTACTTCTTCCGTTGATGACCCAGAAGTCCCTTCAGGATGTGGTAGTGCCTCAGGTCCATCCATACTGACTGCCATATGTCACGAGTCAGGTAAATTTGGATGGACTGACCGGTAGACTTTTAGGGGCTGGGATGCCTGGCGAGCCTGCTTCCTCCCCCCGAGGGGCTTCTCACAGTGGGCAATAGTGATTCTCTGTGGTATCTGACCTCAGCTACTGCTCTTTCTCTGTATTCCAGCCATGCCAGCTTCACAGATATTCCTCAAAAAGGTCAATTTCTACCATGGAGCCTTTATACTGGGTTCATCTCTGCCTGAAAGCTCTCCCCCATGAACAATATACACAAAGCTCAATCATCGCTTCAAACAGATCACAAAGGAGCCAGGCATCAGGCCTATTTAATGGGTCATGTCTCCCACTTCCCTCCCCACTAGTTTGGTGGGAAGAAGGCATTAAAGTTCCCTTCTTGTCCTAACTGGTTTTGCTCAGCGGATGGAGCGTCAGTCTGCTGACTGAAGGGTCCCAGGTTAGATTCTGGTCAAGGGCATATACCTTGGTTGCAGGTACATTCCCATTAGGAGGTGAGCAGGAGGCAGCTGAATCGGTGTCTCCCTCATCAATGTTTCTAACTCTCTCTCCTCCCTTCCTCTCTGTAAAAAAAATCAATAAAATATATTAAAAAAATAAAAATAAAGTTCTCTTCTTTTCCCTGCTTTCGCCACCCCCCTCCCCACAGTAAAAACTAAGGTTTGCAAACAGGGAAATGTCTTCATCTTGAAGTTTCCCTTGACTCTGCCGTGCACAGATATCCCGGAGCAAGGAGGGGGAAGAGAAGGCAGGAGCTAGTTTCGTAGACACCAGATCTTCAAGGGAAAGAGGAAAAAAAAAAAATCCTGACTTGTGTAGCACCTACTGAATGCTCACTTTCACACCCCTGTACAGAAGGACTAGTCTGTCTCATAAAGGATACTGAGGATTGTGGGCATTAAGAAACTGGCTCCCATTGACACATGGAGGGGCAGAGCAGAACTTGAATGCAAGTCAGCTTGAATAACACAACAAAAGTCACCAGGTGCCACTCAATGCTCCCCCTTTAGGGAGAGAGCAAGCAGTCTGGGGTGGAATAGAGACGGTATTGAAGCTATTGGCCAAGCATGAAAAAGAAATTTATTTATAAATGCATAATTTTTATATTTAGAAAATTACATGGAAACAGAAGTGAAGTCACACATTCCTATCCCCTGGAACTATTGCAGGTGAATATCCAATTGTCCCAGCACCATTTGTTGTAAAGACTAACCTTTCTCCACTGAGTTGCCTTGGCACTTTTGTCAATATCAATTGACCATTTATGTGTGCATTTATTTTTAGATTCTCTATTCTGTTCCATGAATCTATTTGTTTGTCTAGATGCTACTCACTGTTTTGATCAACTGTAGTTTTGTAATAAGGTTTGAAATTGAATTCTTTGTTCTTTTTCAAATTGTGTTCTTTTTCAAAATTGTTTTAACAATTCTAGGTTCTTTGCATTTCCGTATGGACTTCAGAGATTGTCAATTTTAAAAGCTTGCTGGGATTTTGAATGTGTTGAACCCATAGGACAACTTGGAGAAAATGACATCTTAATCTTGTTCTCAGATCAATGAACATAGTATATCTCTCTGTTTACGTAGGTCTTATTTTATTTATCCCAGCAGTGTTTTGTAATTTTCAGTGAAGAGATTTTGCACATCATTTGAAGATCTATCACTGAAGTTTATATTTTTTGAGACTAATGTAAGTGGTATTTTAAATTTCAACTTCCAGCTGTTTACTGCTATTATATAGAAATACAGTCAATTTTTAATATATTGATCAGAGCACCCTGTTTTTCCTGCCTTGTATTCACCATATTTGTCATTGAAATGTACACTACAGCAATGCCATACAGGGCTGGAACCATTGCTATTTTGTTTAGCCCAAACCTCTCAAAATGCCTAGTAATTAGTTAGCACTCAATAAATGGTTTTAATGAGTGCTGGCATTTTATTTAGCTGCATACACACCCTTCCATTCACTCCTAATTTTTTGTGAACAAACTTATAATAAACTAGAGGCCCAGTGCACAAATTTTGTGCATTCAGGAGGGCCTCTCAACCCAGCCTGCACCCTCTTGCAGTCTGGGAGGCCTTGGGGGATGTCCAACTGATGGCTTAGGCCTGCTCCGCACCATCAGACATCCTTAGCACTGCCACAGAGGCAGGAGAGGCTCCCGTCACTGTTGCTCCACTCACCAGCCATGAGCCCCGCTTCTGGCTGAGTGGCGTTCCCCCTGTGGGAGCGCACTGATCACCAGGGGACAATGCATCTGCCCCCCTGGTGGTCAGTGTGCGTCATAGTAACTGGTGGTCATTCTGCTGACCGGTTGATTTGCATATTAGCCTTTTATTATATAGAATATTGGGTATTTCTCTTCCATTAGAATGGTGGTCTGAAATTGGTGGTATTAAAACCTTCCCAGGTGATTCTAAAACATACTAATGCTTCAGCCTCATGCTGGCCTACTGAAAGCCACCTCCAGGGTGTAGGGTACAGGTATTTATATATTTTTAAAAAAAATATTTCTTGGTGATTCTGATGTGCATCCAGAGTTGAGGAACACAGGCACAGAAAAACAGGCTGCCTGCATTCAGCCACGTTATAAAATAAAGCCGTGGCTGAGCTCCCCTGGAAGGTCCAGCAGGTGAGATACGTAAGGATCTCCCCAGCCTCCTCTGAGAGTTGTTCCTTGGTTTCTCTCACACTGTCTCCGCTGCAATGGGGCAGGAAGGAAAGAAGAAAACCAGAACTGAGTGGAAAGCATTTTCAAACTTTATTTACAACTGTCACAGTGACAAAAAGTAGTTTGGAAAAAAAAAAAAAAAAAAAAGCTAGTTTCTCCCTGAGCCTCAAAAAAGAACAGACAGAAGTTACAGGAGGTTCATCTTACAACAGGCATGTTTACTGAAATACTAGTTTGTTTTTTCAATACGATCAGTTAGAAATACACACAAGATACTTAAAAAAAAAAAAAAAAAAAGAAAGAAAAAAAGAAAGAGGAGGCCAGACAGGAGCTCAGCCACGTGTCCAAGCGTGACTGGGTCCCCCCCAACAGGCTCACTGCTGAGGGGCTTGACTTTAGCCATCAGCATCTGACCTGCTCAGACTCCACATGGTCGTACAAAGGGGTCTAGTGACCAGCAAAAACAACAAACCACCCCCATAAACACACACGTACACAAAGTAGGTCTGTTATGCAGTTTACAAGCACGTTCCCATCACACGGACAGATGATACAGGGGAGCACATTGGAAGGGGACACGGAGACACAGGGTTTTAAAAGGCGAGAGACCCCGTCCACAAGGGAGGCACAGGCTGAGAAATGCTGCCGTGAGGGATTGGGAGTGGGAGGGAAGGGTCTCCGCAGCCAAAACCAAAGGAAAGGGAGAGCGAGAGAGAAACACCCCCAGGGCAGGCTGCAGGCTCTCCCACTTCCTCGAGGAGCTGGAAGAAGTTATTGCCATCGAATGGGTGTGAGGAACACAAGCAGTCAACACAGAGAAGGGGAGCAGGGGCAATGGGAGTGTCGGCTGCCCAGAACCAAACCCTGCTGGCTATCAAACAGCACCCCCTGGTCCTCCTGCCCAACCTTCCCCAGAGCCGCACAAACCTTGAGGTATTATTAAATACAACCTTGCTACAAGTCCGAACCTGGGCAACCTGGACTGACTGGACATCTGAGGGCTCACCTGGAGGCCTCGCTGGGCAGAGTTCAGCCCAGGGCTGCTCTGGAGCCCACCTCTGGGCGGCACCGTCCGCTCTGAGATAGAGATGAAGAGTGTCCTGCCTCGTGCGGCTCCTGGTGGTTCTGAACTATGATAAGAAGCTCTAGGTCCAAGGCTAACTTTCTCAGGGAACTGTGCCCTTGAAGGGGATAGGCGGGAGGTGGGGAGTGAGGACCACCACCGTTCAATGCTCCCCTCACCGCGCCATCCTCCCACCTGCACCCAGGAAGGCCAGGGGAGAAGCCAGGGACTTCATGACACCCTTTAGTGTCCCACTCGATCCCCAGGCGGCTGCACAGAAGCCTCCTCACCCATCCAGTCATTCCCGGGCCTCGCCAGCTCTCGGGATGTACCTAAATGAGCTCACCTCCCCAACAAGAAACAGAAAAAGTCTCCTCTGCTCTTCATGCAGCTCCCACCGGGAAAGCAGGCCCCAAGCCCACATGGAGTGGGCGATGCCGCTGACTGGGCTGGTTGGAACCCCTTGCGGGCTGGGAGCCACCTGGGCCTCATGGCTTGGCCAGGGGATGGGAGGGCATGGTAAGGAGAGAAGGAGGGCCAGCCTGGGAGAGCTTCCCCCTCCCCCACTCGCTCTGTGCCTCTGCTCAGACTGAGAGCACGTGTGGGGGGACCTTCATGTCCAAGTGTGCACATCAGTCCTCCGACAAGGGCAGGAAGTACTCTCACTACTCCCAAAGTAGTAGTGAGAAGCGGGGTGGGGGGCGAAGAGGGGTGGGGGGGACATTGAGTGGGAGGCAGAGCAAAAAGGAAAAATAAAGGGAGAGAAGCTCAAAAGCACTGCTTCTTGAAAACAACCACTCCAGCTTACCGCAGGTAGGTCCACCTGCCACAGCCGGGAGCAGTGGGGCAGAGGGGCCGTGGAGGAGGAATGGGGGGCCTTTCCCTTTCCCAAGCATCACCCCAGCTGGCTTTGCAGGCAGCCAGGGTGCACTGCTCTCCTCTACCCGCCTCCCCTGTAACGGGCAGCACACCTGAAAGGAAAGCCAAGGCTGGCGGAGGGTGAAGCTGCAGAGAGATGAAGACTTGGTTTTCGGATGCCCCCGCAGCAGAGAGATGGCTCACTGAGAAGCAGGTCCTTCCTGGCTGCCCCTCTCTGCTCAATGCTTTCCTTATACCGTGCGTTTTCTCTTTTGTCCCCTGTTTGTTCTCTTAGCCCAAATGTTCCTTGCTCGCTGTGCATGCCCCATCCCCTCACCCGCAGGGCCCCCTGGAATCCCACCGCTGCCTCTGGGTGCTGAGTTCAGATACTGATCTCGAAAACCAAAGCTTCCACACACCCCAGCCCCTGCTCGAAGCAGCTTCCTTCCTCAGAAGGCCTTGCAAAGGGCCCCGGAGGGCTCCAGGGCGGCTCGACATAGTTCAAAAACAAAAAGAAAAGAAAGGGAAAGAAGACCAACTCAGTGATAACTCTCGAGCAAAACGGAAGCCTCGTCTGACGTTTCAGAACGACGGAGGCCCCCTCTCTTCATCCATCACAATGGGAAAGAACACAGTTCAGGTACAGATGCTGTCTGGTGTGACCCGCGGGGAGCCGGTGGGAATCTACTGCTCCTTGTTCTCTGCCGCTGTCTCTTCACAGTTGTCCTGCTCGTCCTCCTGGACCAAGAACTCCTCGGGCGGCCACCGCAGCTCCCCGCTCTCTACCTCCCCCTCTGTGGGTTCCACCACGATGGAGGGCAGGCGGTCCTTCAGTTTGCAGCAGCGGTCAAAGTCTGACGGGTCGGGGAAGATCTGAAATAAAAGCAGAGCGAGCGCCTGGTCACGTACAGATCTAAACGGTGCAGCTCCTTTCCTTTCTCTCACACCTGCGGGCAGGGCCGGGCACCTGCGGTATGCCATGGACGGTGCTAGGCAGGGGGTACAGCAACCAGGAAGTGAATTCTGAGCAACAAGGGAAAGCATCCCTCAGCTTGAAGCTGAAAGGTTACAGGGCAGCACCCCCAAGTCTAAAAGGTGGGGTAGCTCTGTCTGCACTCTTTGTTTTATTTTATTTCTGATAAAATGATTTGAAACCATGTAACGATCCTCAGTAAGCCACATCTCTGTTTACAGCAGGCATTTCACTCTGCCAGGCTGGCAGGTCTCACTCAGTAGCTCAGTTGGTCAGAGTGTTGCCCTGATACACCAAGGGTGTGGGTTCGATCCTGGTCAGGGCACATACAAGAATCAACCAATCAATGCATAAATAAGTGGAACAACAGATCAGTGTTTCTCTCTCTCTCTCAAATCAATTTTTAAATTAAAAAAAAAAATTCCTGCCAGGATCATTACTGGCACCTTGTATAAGCCAGCTACCAGGTGCTTTACATTTATAATTTTGAACTAGTCATACTGACAAATAGGTGTTTCTGGTAGTATCTTAAAGAATCCCGGGCTTAGAGAAAGCCCAGGCCATGCCTCCTGGAAATGGGTGGTGGAAGCAGATTCAGACCCAGGTCTGTTTGACTCGAGTGCCCGGGCCCCAGTACCGCCCCCTCTGCTCCTTCCTGATCTCCTTTCAACTGAACAGTCAAGGCCAAGTAAGGGTTGAGCTGAAGCTGCCAGCCACAGGCAGGCTGGGGACAAAACCCCAGGCTCCCTTTTCACCTGTGAGCAATTCCTGGCTCCTCAATGGCTCCACACCTGAAAGAATTGACTTCTCTCTCTCCAGAGTCCCATCAACGAGGCTTTTTAAAAATGCCTACTGTGTGTCCTGCCCAGAAGTGGGAGAAACCCCAAACCAGACCTTAAAATCAAGACCTCTGTGTATCCCTTCGCATACCCTGCCCTGTGACTACAGCTGACCCAATTCCTTGCCTAGCAGCTTAAGTACTTAATCCGATGGGCTGCTGGTCCCTTGCATTCACAGTCCTTGGTGACATGTCCCAGAGCTGGAGAGAGGAGCCTCTGTCTGGGACCCTGGGGCTCTCAGAATCACAGGGCACCTTCAAGGCCATCTCTTCCAACCACTCTAATGGATAGCTGAGGAAACGGAGGCCCAGAGGGGTCAGGAGACTTGCTCGAGGTCACACAGCTAGTTAAGTAGCAAAAGAAAGAAAGGCAAAACCAAGAGTGGGTGGGGAGAAACACACATGTGAAGAGATGCCTGGCTCAGATCCCGACAGGCCCACGGCAGCAGACAGGTGGCCTCCATTCCCCAGGCCTTCTGTGGTGCTATGAGGGTGCCCCATCTTCCTGTACCCCAACCCCAAGCAGTGCTGTCCCAGTCAAGTCGCCAATATGTCACAGGTCACACGGGGCTGCCGGGAGTCATGGGCCTCACCGAAACCTCCTCCCCAATCCCTGCAGACAAGTGATTATTAACCATTTATCCAATAAAGCCCTATTGCTGGGGATTAAGCCTTAAGCCAGCTGCACAACCAGGCATCATTAAAGACTTAACAAGCCTTATAAAAGTACCCTAATGGCAGCCAGGAGGAAAACAAGGCAAGGGAGGGACTTGGGGAGTGGGGCTGGAAGAAAGCACGGGCAGGCTGACCCCACTGCGGGCCTTCTCCCCCTGATGTGGCCAGCCCTGCAATCCTGCCCCTGGGCAGTGCTGTGCACACAGACCCACCGGTGCTGTGCCGGGAGAGGGTCAAGGGCCTCTCTGGGCTGCCCCTCACTTCTTGTGCAGAGGGAGCCCCTCCCCGTGTGCGATGATACCAGGCGCCCTTCCAAGCACAAGCTCAATGTGAGGGGAGCCCCAACAAGAGGAGAGCGTGCTACCATCTACGAAGCTTTCAGACATCACCTCCTTTCGGCCGCACCACTCCCAAGAGCAGGGAAACCCTGAGGCTCGGAAGGCCGAGCCAGGATTCAAACCCAGATCTTCTGTTTTCAATGCCTGTGCCTTCTGATGCCCCTGGGTGAACATGCCAATTTTACAGACAGAAAACTGACCAGGGAGGGTGTGCAAGACTATGGGTTTCCATGGCTCCTTCGGCTACTGGGGCCCCATGATTACCCTCCGGGCAGCTGAGCTTCCCAGTCCGGACAGTTGTTCTAATTCTTTAGGACACGAGAAAGAGCTGTGAAATATCAAGAGGAGATGGACACCTGGCCCAGGACAGACTCGGCCCCCTACCTTGACCATGTGACTGCAAGCCCAGGGCTGTGCCTACCCCGTGACTCCCATATGAATCTGTGGTCACCCATCTGAGCAAGAGTGAGAAGGGACAAGGTGGAGGAGGAGGAGGAGGAGGAGGGTAATAAGGGTGGAGAACAGGGAAGTTTGTTTGAAGCTGGAAGCAGGTCTTTAGCTAAAATAGGCTGGGGGGAGGGGGTGGTGTTAAAATAATGATGATGATGGGAGACGAAAACATGCCAGGCGTATCTGCACATCCCAGATCAGATTCTCCATCTTCGCAACAGTCCTCTGAAGTAAACAGTGGTGTGGTCCCTATACTATAGATGAGGGAACTGAAGTGCAGAGAGGGCAAGCAGCTTCCTCAAAGCCACGGAGCTAGGAAGTAGCGGATCCAAGACCCAAACTCAGACCTAAAAAACTTCAAGTCATGTGTTCCTTGGATAACACAGTGTCCTGCCAAAGACCCCAGATTGTCATCATGTCCTTGACATCCCTTGTTGAACCCCAACCAAATCCCCTCTATCACCGGTTCCTCAGTTTCTCCTTTTGAGAAGCAAAGTGACCTTCCTATCTCACTAGATGGGTACAAGTGCTGGGCAAATACAAATATAATAAAAGCCTTTGAGGACCCACGCTCAAGTCACGTCTGAATGTCCTTTCTGGAACAGTTTCAACAGGACTCGTGTAAGTGTTCAATCTGCCAACAAGAGGCAGCCATGCTAAGGCAGCAATTAACATAACTCCACACAATGGCTCTCATACCAGCAGCTGCACAATTAAGTCTCTGATGTCCTTGGGGGGGGGGGGGGGGTGTCTGAGCAGTGAACTTCTGATACTGCTTAGCTGCCAGAGAACTTTGCTCCCTGAATTGTTCAAAGCAGGCGCCATAAACACACACACACACACACACACACACACACACACACACACTCTAAAACTTTGTTTTTTACAAAGCCTATTAATTACATTTTTAACAATCACTGTGATAATCTAACCCTTCCATCAGAGATTTTATTTTATTAGCAGATAATCCCCATTTATGACCCCGAAAATGGTAGCTCTCTCCAAAGACAAACAAAAGGCACCCAGAAACCAGCAGCTCCTCGTTTCCCCGCACACAGACAGAAAGCCTTGCGGAGAGCAGGATCTCGCCAGCGCGCTCTTATCTCCGGCAGCTGCTGAAGAGGCTGACCCTAAGGAGGTCAAGATTTTTCCACTAAGTCATGCTTTTTA